CTGACAATATAGAAATCACACCGGCAACCAGTTAAATTGGTGAAAAATTTACTCAACCTTTCTGTTGTGTGTGACTCTGTGTGCCACATGGAGCTTAGAGAAGAGAAAGAGCAGCAAATAATTGAGGATTTGAGAACAAAAATTGTGGAAAAGCATGGACAATCTCAAGGTTACAAGTCCATCTCCAGAAATCTTAATGTTCCTGTGTCCACTGTGCACAACATTGTCAAGAAGTTTACAGCCCATGGCACTGTAGCTTATCTCCCTGGATGTGGACGAAAGAAAAAAAAAAAGATCAAAGATTGCAATGAACGATTGTTTGAATGGTGGAAAAAGAGCCTCGATCAACTTCCAGACAAATTCAATCTGACCTTCAGGCACAGGGTACAACTGTGTCAGCTTGCACTGTACGTTGCCATCTGAATGAAAAGGGATGCTATGGTAGGAGACCCAGGAGGACCCCACTGCTGACACAAACATAAAAAAGCCAGACTGGAGTTTGCCAAAACTTACCTGAGGAAGCCAAAATCCTTTTGGGAGAATGTGCTGTGGACAGACGAAACAAAATTACAGCTTATTGGTAAAGCCCATCATTCTAGTTTTCAGGAAAATTAATGAGGCCTTTAAAGAAAATAATACATAAGAATGTTTCAGGCACTGGATGTCTTGACTGTGCATGGCATTATGAAATCTGAAGACTACTAAAGAATTCTGGGGTACAATGTAGGGCCCAGTGTCAGACAGCAGGACAATGACCCAAAGCACATGGGACAAAGCACCTAGAAATGGTTTCAGACAAAGCACTGGAGAGTACGGAACTGGCCAGCAATGAGTCCAGATCTCAATCCCATAGAGCACCTGTGGAGAGAACTCAAAACAGCAGTTGGTAAAAGGAACCCTTCCAATCTGAGAGACCTGGAACAGTTGGCGAAAGAAGAGTGCTCCAAAATTCCAGGAGAGGTGTAAGAAACTCATTGATGGTTACAGGAAGCCATTGATTTCAGGGTGTGCTACCAAATATTAAATTGAGGGTGCTAATAATTTTGTCCAGTCCATTTTTGGGGGTTTGCGTGGAATGTGGCAGTTTTGGCTTTTTGTTTCTCCACTTTTTTTCTGTCTTACCAATACAAACAAAAGAAATAAACATGAGAATGTCTAAACATTTGTAATTGCAACAATTTTCTGGGCGAAATGGTGCATTATCTGATAGAAATCTGACAGTCATTCCACAGATCTTCAATGGGGTTTAAGCCTGGGCTCTGACTAGGCCATACAAGGATATTCACCTTTTTTCTCCTTCAATCACTGTGTGAAGGTAAATCTTCTTCCCATTGTCAACTTTCTGGCAGAGGGCAGCAGATTTTCTTCAAGAATTTTATGTTATTTTGCTCCGTCCATTTTTCCTTCTATTCTGACAAGTGCTCCAGTCCCTACTGTAGAGAAACACCCCCATAACCGGATATTGCCACCCTCCATGCTTTACTGCAGGAATGGTATTATTTGGATGGTGAGCTGTACTGGATTTCCTCCAGACATATTGTTTAGTGTTGAGGCCAAATAATTCAATTTTAGTCTCATAGGACCAGAACACGTCTTTACTTGTGACCTCAGAATCTTCAAGGTGCGTTTTCGCAAAGCTCAGTCATGACTGCATGTGGCCTTTCTTGAGGAGTGGCTTTTTTCTTGCAACCCTCCCATACAAGCCACATTTGGGGAGAATTCATGATATTTTTGACACATGCACATCTCTTTGTCAAACATTCCTGCAACTGCTTCAGAGTTGCTGTAGGCCTCTTGGTAGCCTCTCCGACCAGTTTCCTCCTGGCTTTTTCATCCAGTTTGGAGCAATGTCCTGATCCAGGGAAGGTCTGTGTACCAAATACCTTCCACTTCTTAGTAATAGACTTCACTTCAACTTTATTCCAGAAATCGTTTGACAGTGCCTTGCCACTCATAGTTGATTGTTTGCTTCGGTTGCACTATCAAGGACTGAAATGCTCCAGGAAAGCTCCTTTCATGCTGAGCTAATCAAAATAAACACAATCACAGCTGAACGTCATATGGCATTGTGTGCCATTAGGAAGGTGTTTAGCTACACCTGATTGATTTTACAAGTCATTTTTAGGAGGGGGGGGTCCTTTTTCCAACTTAGTGATTCTGTTTTTGAATTTTTTTCTGACTTGTTGGTGTTATATCTTTCACTTGGATGTTGTATGTTGCACTGAAATACGGCTGGATATAGCAAACACTGTCTGACTTCATTTCAGACTGCAAAGCTACAAAATGTGATTACTTTAAAGGGAGCGATTCTCTTCTATACCCACACTGATGTGTGTGTAATGTGTGTGGGTGGTGGTGGTATCATTGTATATATGTGTGGGTGGTGGTGATGGTATCCGTGTATATATGTGTGGGTAGCAGGCGCGGACTGACCATTTGGAAACTCAGGCACTGCCCGAGGGCCCGGTGTCAGTAGGGGGCCCCATGAGATGCCCCTGGTACCTTTTTCATAGGCTTTTTTGAGTTTGGGCAAGGACACAGGGGCCCCATGATCCCCTATTGCCCGGGGGCCCCATGAGTTGTCAGTTCACCCCTAGTGGGTAGTGGTGGTATCAGTGTATACAGTATATGTGTGGGTGGTGGTGGTGGTATCAGTGTATATATGTGTGGGTGGTGGTATCAGTATGCATGTGGTTCATGATGATTGGACTATCATTGTGTATGTGTATGGGTGGTGGTATCAGTATACAGTTGCAAGAAAAAGTATGTGAACCCCTTGGGATTATGTGGAGTTTTGCATGAATTGGGCATAAAATGTGCTCTGAACGTCATCTAAGTCACAACAATAGAAGAACACAGTCTGCTGAACATAATACTACACAAACATTAGATGTTGCCATGGTTTAATTGCACATAACATGTAAACATTCACAGTGCAGGGAGGAAAAAGTATGTGAACCTTTGGACTTAATAACTGATTGACCCTCCTTTGGCAGCAATAACCTCAACCAAACGTTTCCTGTAGTTGCAGATCAGACCTGCACAACGATCTGGAGTAATTTTGGACCACTCCTCTTCACAAAACTGTTTCAGTGTAGCAATATTCTTGGGATGTCTGGTGTGAATCACTCTCTTAAGGTCATGCCACAGTATTTCATTCGGGTTGAGGTCAGGACTCTGACTGGGCCACTCCAGAAGGCGTATTCTGTGCTGTTGCAGCCATTGTTTTGTTGAATTACTTGTATGCTTTGGGTCATTGTCCTGTTGCATCACCCGTCCTCTGCGGAGCTTCAGTTGGCGGACAGATGGTCGTAAGTTTTCCTGCAAAATGTCTTGATAAACTCTGGAATTCATTTTCCCATCAATGACAACAATCCATCCAGGCCCTGAGGCAGCAAAGCAGCCCCAAACCATGATGCTCCCTCCGCCAGGTTTTACAGTGGGGATGAGGTTTTGATGTTGGTGTGCTGTGCCTTTTTTTCTCCACACATAGTGTTGTGTGTTCTTCCCAAACAACTCAATCTTGGTTTCATCTGTCCACAGTATATTTTGCCAGTAGTGCTGTGGAACATCCAGGTGCTCTTTTGCAAACTTCAAACGTGCTGCAATCTTCTTTTTGGACAGCAATGGCTTCCTCCGTGGTGTCCTCCCATGTACTCCATTCTTGTTTAATCTTTTCCTTATTGTAGATGTGTCAACAAAAATGTTAGCATGTGCCAGAGATTTCTGTAGGTCTTTAGCTGACACTCTGGGATTCTTCTTTACTTCATGCAGCATTCTGCGCTGTGCTCTTGCAGTCATTTTTACAGGACGACCACGCCTAGGGAGAGTAGCAACAGTGCTAAACTTTCTCCATTTGTAGACAGTCTGTCTTACCGTGGACACATGAACATCAAGGCTTTTGGAGATACTTTTGTAACCCTTTTCAGCTTCATGCAAGTCAACAATTCTTGATCGTAGGTCTTCTGAGAGCTCTTTTCTGCGAGGCATGGTTCACATCAGACAGTGCTTCTTGAAACCAGTAAACCCAAAACAGGTGTGTGTTTTATAAGGGCAGGACAGCTGTCAGCAACACATCCAATATCATCACACTGATTGGAGTCAAGGTTGGCTCACTCCTGGCTTCAATTAGCTCTGGGAGAAGTCCTTAAGCTAGGGCCTCACATACTTTTTCCTCCCTGCACTGTGAATGTTTAAATGTTATGTGCAATTAAACCATGGCCACATCTAATGTTTTGTGTAGTATTATGTTCAGCAGACTGTGTTCTTCTATTGTTGTGACTTAGATGACGTTCAGAGCACATTTTATGCAAAACTCCACGTAATCCCAAGGGGTTCACATACTTTTTCTTGCAACTGTATATGTTTGTGAATAGTAGTGAGGTATCAATATATATGTATGTATGTTGTGTGGGGGGGGGGTATCAGTGTATATGGTGGTAGAATCAGTGTGTGTATGTATGTATGTAGGAGGTATCATTGCATATGTGGATAGTGGTGGTGGGGTATCAGTGTATATGCAGTGTGTGTGTGGTGCTATCAGTATATACGTGTGGTTGTGGTATCCTTTTATGTGTGTGTGGGTGATAGTGGTATTATTAATTACCTGTGTGGATGTGGTGGTTCTATCAATATATATATTGGTGGTGGATCTAACACTGCATGTGTGAGTGGTGGTGGCGGCATCAGCATATATGTGTGTTGGTAGTGGTATTGCTGTATATATGGGTGTTGGTGGTAATGGTATCGGTGTATATGTGAGTGTTGGTGGGATTATCATTGTGCATATGTGTGTGGTGGTATCTGTATATATGTATGTGGGAACTGGTATCATATATACATGTGATGGCAGTCAATATGTACACTATGTTGCCAAAAGTATTGGGACAGACTCCCCTCCAAATCATTGGATTCAGGTGTTCCGATCACCTCCATGGCCACAGGTGTATAAAATCAAGCACCTAGACATGCAGATTGCTTCTACAGACATTTGTGAAAGAATGGGTCACTCTCAGGAGCTCAGTGAATTCCAGCGTGGTACCGTGATAGGTTACCACCTGTGCAATAAGTCCATCCGGGAAATTTCCTTTCTACTAAATAGTCCATGATTAACTGTTAGTGGTATTATAACAAAGTGGAAGCAACAGCAACTCAGCCACAAAGTGGTAGGCCACGTAAAATGACAGAGCGGGGTCAGAGCATGATGAAGCGCACAGTGCACAGAAGTCACCAACTGTTTGCAGAGTCAATAGCTAAAGACCTCCAAACTTGGTGTGGTCTTCAGATTAGCATAACAACCATGCATAGAGAGCTTCATGGAATGGGTTTCCATGGCCGAGCAGCTGCATCCAAGCCTTACATCACCTAGTGCAATGCAAAGCATCAGATGTAGTGGTGTAAAGCACGCAACCACTGGACTCTGGGGCAGTGGAGATGTGTTCTCTGGAGTGACGAATCACTCCTCTCTTTCTGGCAATCCGATGGACGTGTCTGGTTTTGGCGGTTGCCAGGAGAAGGTACTTGCCTGACTGCAAAGAGCTTCAAATGCATCCGAAGTGCGTTTTTGTGGTGTGAACTGGCCCTTAGGGCCGGTTCACACTATAGAAACACAGTTCAGAGGCGTTCCAGATGCATTTCTGCATGCGTGTTTTTGACACCTCTTTGGCGTGTTCTGGTGTGTTTTTGATGCGTTCCAGTTAAATTTTCCCCCTCTCTTTTTCTTCAACTTAAATAGGGACATGTGCGTTTTACCGCGTTCCAGTACAGTACTTTTTTTCTGCACTGGAACTGCAAGCACTGATGTGAACTATGACATTGACAACCATATAACCTACTTTCTGTGCATTTTGGATGCAGAAAAAAAAAGCCCATTGAAACGCACGTAGTGTGAACTGGCCCTTAAACTATAAAATACATTATTATTAAAATACAAACAGCAGTCTAGCCACAGACACTAGTACAGTGCAAGATATCGTATTACCAAGCTGTCTCCAGCCACATATTCAAACCACGAGTATGGACTTGGTGTGTGTGGTGACATCATGGCGATTGCCCCACCCTATGCATTTTGTACTCCAAGGGCGATAAATGATATATAGGACTAACCCTTCCTGGGTAATGACAAGGTGCCCACATTTTTACTGTCCATCTAGCCCTCGTAAGGTGAGGCGTGTTCCAGCTATGTGAACAAGTAAAGGTTGGCATGTTGAAGGTCAAATATATATATAAAATATTATTTATGTTAAAAGTAGTTTTTCTTTTTGGTATATACAGTATATAGCGAGATCCTGGTATATCAAAGCATACTGTGGCCTGATTTGTAGGACCCTTCTCGGCCCCCTCATTGATTGTCTCTTTTGCCTTCCCACAGCCTGGAAGTATGTGACCACTTTTCCCTTTGTGATGTACGCCACTTTGTGAGTATATGTGTTTTGTGTGGGGGGTTTTTTTTCTCCCCCGCTCACCTCTTCTCTCTCTTCCCTGGATAGGGATGACCATACGTTGTTATGTACCTATGCGATTTACAATGTTTTTTTTCTTATTTGTAGATTGAAATTATGTATGTATAGCGTCTGTCACATTTGAAATGCACTCCTGAAGAAGCAGCGTGGCCGTGAAATGCGTAGACTCATCAAATGACACAAGTTATTTGTCTTCGATGTGGTTTTAATATTTTGTAATTCTTGAGATTTTTTTTACTATGTAACAATAAGATTGTGAAATAAAATAAAAACCTTTGCACAATCACCTATAATAAATAAAATGATAATACTCCTAAATGGAACTTAAACACATATCAAAATGATAGACTGAACCCTTGCGCCAAAGAAATAACAATCAAATAAATGCTGCTGCTCAAAAATGACAAAACATCAAACAAAACTCATAATATAACAGTGCAAATATTAATGCAAAATAAAATATATTATAATTTATTTAGCATTATTATTTACGCTGTGTTATATTATGAGTTTTGTTTGACATATCAAAATTGTTGCTACTATGTCTCAATATGATCGCGCCACACATACGTATATCAATAAACGATAAAACCCAGGACAGCGCTACATTCAAAACACATAGTTCTCACATGTAACAAGTCCTTCTTAACATCCAGTTTATCAGTCCCATCCAAGTGCACAGAACAGTGATATCACCGTCTTGTAAGATACTGCCACCTTCAGCCTCTCACCTTATTAGGAAGACCTACTTGTAACTTCGGACGAATTGCGCCTTTAACCCTTTTTCCCTGGGTTATGGGGATAGTCCTCCCGAATAGATGAGAGGCTGAAGGTGGTGGTATAGCCCAAGGTGGTGATATCACATTTACCTGTTTTGTGCACTTGGATGGGACTAATAAACAGTTTGGATATTAAGAAGGATTTGTTACATATGAGGACTATGATTATTTTTATTATTATTATACAGTATTTATAAAGCGCCAATAGTTCGCTTAGCGCTGTACATTACAAAGGGGGACAGAACATGTGACAGAACAACAATACAATGCAAAACATGAGGGGATTGAGGGCCCTGCTCTTTCGAGCTTACAATCTAGGAGGGAAGGGATGGTGGCACAGGAGGAGATAGCTGTGGGGGATGGAGTGGTAGGTAGAGTGGAGGAGGTCGGCAAGTTAGCAGGGGGTGGGGTAGGCTTCCCTGAAGAGATGGGTTTTCAGGGTGCGCCGAGAGGAGAGTAGGTGATAATTTGATGGGTTGTGGCAGAGAGTTCCAGAGGATGGGTGACACCCTGGAGAAGTCCTGGAGGCGGGCATGGGAGGAGACCAGGGAACTAGAGAGAAGGAGGTCTTGTGAGGAGCGTTGTGTGCGTGTTGGGCGGTACTTGGATATTAGGTCAGTGATGTAGTTCGGGGCAGTATGGTGGATGGCTTTGTACGTCAGCGCTAGGATTTTGAATTTGATCCGTTGGGCAATCGGAAGCCAGTGGAGGGATTGGCAGAGGGGGGTGGCGGAGATGGAGTGGTTGGAAAGGTGAATGAGTCTGGCAGCCGTATTCAGGATGGACTGAAGCGGGGATAGCCAGCGGCGACGCAGGCCAGTGAGGAGGGAATTGCAGTAGTCGATTCGTGATATGATGAGGAAGTGGATGAGCTGTTTAGTGGTTTCTGGGGTTAGGAACATGCGTATTTTGGCGATGTTGCGGAGGTGTAGTCTGCACGAGTTTATTAAAGATTGGACTTGGGGCTGGAAGGATAGGTTGGAGTCCAGAATGACACCAAGTACTCTGGCCTACGGGGCGGGTTTAATGTGGCATTCTTGGATGTGATAAAGAAGTCAATGGGGGGTGGTGCCCGGGCTGGGGGAAGACCAGAAACTCGGTTTTGGAGAGGTTCAGTTTAAGGAAGTGGAGCGACATCCAGTCCGATATGTCGCTCAGTAGGTGGAGACTGAGGTGGTGAGGTGAGGGGTTGAGAGACAGATTTGTGTGTCGTCGGCATATAGGTGGTAGTTGAAGCCGTGAGAGTGTATGAGTTGGCCAAGGGAGGAGGTGTAGATGGAGAAGAGAAGGGGCCCGAGGACGGAGCCTTGAGGGACCCCAACAGAGAGGGGGAGTGAGGGGGAGGTGGTAGCATTATAGGTAACGCTGAAAGAGCGTTGTGACAGATAGGATGACAGCCAGGAGAGAGCAGAATCTCCGAGGCCGAGGGAGTGTAGTTTTTTGAGGAGGAGGGGGTGGTCAACTGTGTCGAAGGCCGCAGAGAGGTCAAGGAGTAGGAGCACTGAATAGTGGCCATGATATTTTGAATGTAGCACTGTCCTGGGTTTTATTGTTTAACAATAAGATTGTATTCCAAAACTGAGCTCATACTATTCCCTCCAGCCCGTGCCCCCACCCCTGACTTTTCCATCAAGATCAATAACACAATCATCAGTCCCTCCCCTCATGCCAGGTTACTAGGTGTAATCCTGGACTCCCATCTGTCCTTTCAGTCCCAAATCCAATCACTATCCAAATCTTGTAGACTTCACATCCGCAGCATCTCCAAGATATGCCTGTTCTTAACCTCGGAAACCACTAAGCAACTTATTCACTCCCTTGTTATATCTCACCTTATTGTAACTCCCTCCTCATTGGCCTACCTAATCGCAGGCTATCCCCTCTTCAGTCTATCATGATTACTGCTGCCAGACTCATCCACCTTACTAACCATTCTGTATCTGCCACCCCTCTCTGCCAATCCCTCCATAGGCCTCCCATTGCCCAACGGATAAAATTCAAAACATTAACAACATATAAAGCCATTTATAACTCTGCCCCAAATTACATCACCAATCTTGTCTCCAAATACCACCCAAACTGTAGTCTCCGCTCCTCTCAGGATCTCCTCCTCCCATGCTCGTATCCAGGACTTCTCCAGAGCTTCCCCCATCCTCTGGAACTCTCTACCACAATTTATCAGGCTATCGCCTACTCTGCTCACTTTTAGGCACTCTCTGAAAACCTCTCTCTTCAGGGAGGCCTATCCTGCCCTCAGCTAATAATTGAATCTTCTACTCTTCCAACCAGTCCATCACCCACATGAGATGCCCCTAGTACCTTTTTCATAGGCTTTTTTGAGTTTGGGCAAGGACACAGGGGCACCATGATCCTCTATTGCCCAGGTGCCCCATGAGTTGTTAGTCCGCCCCTGCCCGTGTCTATATATATATACACACACACCTTTTTTTTTTCATGCTTCTATCAGTATATATGTATGGTGGTGGTGGCACCAGCATCCACGTATTTATATTTGTTAGGGACAGGTGTAAGATTAACTAATTATACCAAAGCAGGTACTAGTGATCATCAATTTCATATGTAGGTTGAAACTCAGACAATAACTGAAAAAGAAACAGCTGTGTGGGAGGCTTAAAACTGGGTGATGAGCAGCCAAACTCTGCTACTAAGGTGAGGTTGTGGAAGATAGCTTCATCTCACAGGTCATAAACCATGGTAAGACTGAATACAGCAACAAAACCCGAGGTAGTTATACTGCATCAGCAAGGTCTCTCCCAGGCAAAGATTTCAAAGCAGACTGGGCTTTAAGATATGCTGTTCAAGCTCTTTTGAAGAAGCACAAAGAAATGGGCAATGTTGAGGACCGTGCACACAATGGTTGGCTAAGGAAACATATCATACTTCACTTTGACATCCGAAGATGTCTAGCAGTGCCATCCGCACAAAACTGGCGGAAACCAGTGGGACCCAGTTACACCCATCTACTCTCCAAAGAAGTATGGCCAGAAGCGGTCTTCATGGAATAATTGCAGGCAAATAGCCATACCTCTGACAAAGAAACAAGGCTAAGCGACTAA